CCAGTAATTCACATCTCCTGTGTACTGAAAGAGTCTTTGACTTCTGGGCCTCTGGGGAGAGGGGAGGATGTGGCTGCTGACCTTAAAACCTCCTGAAAAACCATGTGTATGACTGAAGCAGGGAGCATGCTTTGTAGGGAATAGTAAAGAAAGGTCTGGTAAAGTTCATTTGATGCTTATTGTTCTGTCAGTTTGGGAAATCTTTATAATACCGTGTATTTTATCACATGGTAATAAGGGAATTTTTTTTTTTTTTTTTTAAGTCTCTGGAAGAGACTTAAGGGAAGACTCCAACAGGGTCTTTAAATTCAAAAGGTGGTGTGGAAAATGTTTCTTACCTGTCCCAAGGTAGGAACAAAAGGAAATGGACTTGCTTTGCTACTGGGAGATTTGGGTCACTCATAGGAAGAACTTAGATGCAAGGAAGATGCAGCTGAGGATAACTGGGTGTGGAAGGTGGAGATGTGGGAAATAAACCACAGAGAGCAACATCTTATCTAATAATGATGGTAATAATAGCTGTCACTTATTATGCATTCAGGTCTGCCTTGTGCTGTGCTGCTGAACTATATTAAATTCTCTGAGTGTTGTACAAGGATTTATTGAGCACCTGTATGTTCCAGACACTGTGCTAGACTCTGGGGCTACAATGAAGAGCAAAAACAAGCACCTTTCCACAGTGTGAGGTTGGATGGGTTCTCAGGCTACAGGGCGAGTCAGAAATAAAACATGTGAAGGTATCATTACCAACTGTGAAAAGTACTTTGAAGGCCAAGTTTCAGGGTGCCAAGAGAATGTAAAACAGTCGCATCTCATAGGGTCTGGAGTGTTAAATGGAAGGCTCATCCCTTCATACAGGTTTTTTGTTTGTTTGTTTTTCTGGTACGCGGGCCTCTCACTGCTGTGGCCTCTCCCGTTGCGGAGCACAGGCTCCGGATGCGCAGGCTCAGCGGCCATGGCTCACGGGCCCAGCCGCTCCGCGGCATGTGGGATCTTCCCGTACCGGGGCACAAACCCACGTCCCCTGCATCGGCAGGCGGACTCAACGACTGCGCCACCAGGGAAGCCCCATACAGGGGGGTTTTATTCCCATTTCACTGAGGAGGAAACTGGGGTTTAGAGAGGTTATGTCACGTGCCCACCGTTGCACAGCAATTAATTAATCAGAGTTGGGATTCGAATGGAGTCAGGTCTATCTGACCCCAGAGACTTTTCTCTCAACCACCTGGCTCTAGGAGCATCCTGGGCTATATGACAACTTAATGGATGCTCACCCTGTATTATTTAATTTTCATGGACACGTGTGACATGGATTATTACACCCATTATATGGATTAGGAGATGGAGGCTCAGAGTTAACTTCCCAAGGTCACACAGATCAGCTGGTGGCAAAGCATGGATTTGAATCCAGACTGTTGAACCCAAAAGCCTGCACTCTGCATCAAGCCTGGGCTGTTGCTTCTCCATAAACCAATGGGTCCAGAGAGGGGACCAACGGAGAGCCAGTGCCAGTGCCTGAAGTAGAGCCAGGTGCTTGTGGGAATGAAGGGCCCTTGTCTGGGCTGCTAGCAGGGTCTGGCAGGGTTATCTGGTGGGTACCACGCCCTGGTGAACAGACTGACACCTCCACGCTACCTTGGCTGGTCACCAGGAGCCATTTTCTTTGTTACCAGGCGCTGTGCCAGAAGCCACGGTGAGCTGTTGGGAGCTCCAGGAGGCAGGCTTCCCAAATAAAGATAATCCCAGTACCCAGGTGGAAGTACTCTTAGGGGTTAAGTGTGGGTAGAAAAGGCCATCAAGCTCAAAGGGAGGAGATGTCTTAGTGCAGCACGCTCCAACAGAAATATTATGTGAGCCACATATATAACTTTTTTAAGACTTTCTTTTAATGTGGACCAGTTTTAAAGCCTTTATTGAATTTGTTCCAATATTGCTTCCGTTTTATGTTGGGTTTTTTGGCCACAAGGCATGTGGGATCTTAGGTCCCCAGCCAGGGATTGAACCCGCACCCCCTGCACTGGAAGGCAGTCTTTAACCACTGGACCGCCATGGAAGTCCTCACATTTATACTTTTAATGTTTTCTCGTAGCTACAATAAGAAGTGCAAAAAGAAACAGGTGAAACGAATTTTAACAATGTATTCTATTTAACCCAACAGTATCCAAAGTGTAATTTCAACGTGTAATCAACAACCAGTTATTGATGAGCTGTTTTACATTCTGTTTTTGTACTAACCCTTCCAAAGTAGGGATGTAGTTTGTACTTGGCACGTTTGCATTGGGACCGGCCGTGGTACAGGTGCTCAGCAGCCGCGTGGCAAGTGTTCACGGTACTGAGCCTTGCGGTCCTGGAGTTCATTAGGGCAGATCATCGTCTCTGCCTCCGCCTTCAGCTGGGGGGATGCACAGCGGGTCCGCAGCTCTCGGTGGGCGGCTGGCGCTGGGGGCCCAGCCCGGTGTCCGACGCTCCCGTAACTGTGCGCCCTGCGGCTGCCTCCGGGGTCTCTGGGCTGCAGTGCGAAGAAAGGCTTTGAGGTAGGCGCTGGAAGGCCAGGAAGTTGGGACCGCCGGGAGGAGAAAGCCCTCAGGACCCCAGTCCCGAGCGAGGAGGCCACCCGGCGGCTTGGCGGGCGCAGTGGCGCGGTGGGTGTGGGCCCGCGGCGCGGAGGCGGCCGGGGATCAGAAGCCCACAGGCCCGCATTGTTCGCCTGTCACACTTCCTTTGGCTTTATTGCCTTTGTCCAACACCCTATTGTCTGGTTTCCTTTTGTCCCCATTTCAGCGCTGCTGTCTTTTATTTTCCAGCCAGCCTGGTTGTTTTCATTTCTTTTGTCTGAAGTTCCTGAGAGGAAGGTTTTATTTTCAGCGGTTTGATTAATTCACAGCTTGAGCCCTGGGTTTGTTTGTTATGTAATTGCTGCCCTCAGCTTCAGGATAATACCACTCCCCGACTTCCCCTCCCCCACGCCCAGCCCCCCTGCTCGGGGCCTGGCTCTGCGCCCCTCCCTGTGCCCGGATGGGCCGAGCGCCTGCTTCCTGGCCGCTCTCCGGGTCCCTGGGTGGTGGGAGGGGACCCAGAGCTGTACCCTAAAGCCTCAGGGTGAGCTGGGCTGGGGTGTCCTCTCCTGGGCTGACGTGTGCCTCCTCTTCTCATCCTGCACTGCCCTGTCCTCAGTCCCACGCCAGCCCCCAGGGCACCCTGCCCTTTGAAAGTGGCAGGAGAGCTTAGTCTCATCTGATCTGTAGGATGGCATCAAATCAAACACATTCAGTTATTTCATGTAAAATACTGTACGTGTATTGTACACAGTGTATACATCTCTTGTACATGGCACATTGCATGATTCATTATACATTACAAGAAACATTTTATTATACAGAGTTGATGTAATATACAAATATTATACTGCACCTGCAGTTATTTAAGGGATGTTTTACTATATATAAGTTTTGCCTTACACTCCCCTCCTAAAAATTTAATGCCCATGTAAGCAAAGTTTTAAAAAAATTTTATTTAACAGTGCTTTTCAAACTAGTATGTATCAGAATCACCTGGAGGGCTTGTGAAAACAGATCCATGCCCTCCTCACCCCCAGAATTTCTGATTTGTGGGTGACCCATGACTGTCTTTCAAACAAGCCTCCCACACCCACACTCCCACCTATGTTGAGGCTCTTGTCCTTGTGCTGCATTCCACCCAGCAGTGCTTTAACAAAGCCTGCTTCGGTGCTTACTAGTACAAAGCATTATTCTAAACACCTTGTAAATATCAATTCATAGCCCTTACAGCACCCATTTTACAGATGAGGAAACAGGTGTGGAAAGGTTAAGTAACTTGCCCAAGGTCACTCAGCAGCTAGTGATGTAGCTGAGGCAAGACCCATGCCTACTTGGAACCTGCTGTGTGTCCCCACCTGTCTTGTCTCAGTCACTTAGGAGGGTGAGCAGGTGAGCTCTGGGCAACTGCTACTCTGGCCTTGGGCTTGGCATAACCACTGAAAACTACTCCCAGGATCCTGCTCATCTACGTAGTGATCCCACGCAGTGGGGTGTCAGCAACAGGAGGCAGGGGTTGCAGTCTCTGCGGATATTACACCAGGGAGGTGCAGAGGCCCACAGGGGCCAGACTCTAATTGAGAGACTCTAATATAAGAAAATATTTTTCTGAAAGCTACTCATCTCTCAGCTTACTTCATTCCTCACTTTTGGTAGATAGATACACGGATATAAGAAATTGTTCCAAATAGTTCACTTTTATCTTGCCTCTACTCTAAGGAAAACAAAGAGTAAGTGTATAGGGTAGTTGATACTTGGTTTCCCTTTTGGGGAGTAGGAGGGAGTGGTGGAGAGTAGGGCAAAGTGGCCTGTTCATAGAGAGTAACTGCTGCTCAATTTCAGCCAATTATTGCCACAGTCCAAGTTCAAGAGAAGTTCAAATCCAGATTTTTATGGGATATCTCTTGATTTTAAAATTTTGGTAACTAATTACAAGTACGTACATACACAAACATATACAGACACGTACTGTATATATGATCTTGGCTTTATTGGACTCAGAAGGAGCCAGTTGACAATCTCTAGCCTTCTCAGGGAGACCCATCAGCCCGCTAGTTCCAACATTGCAACAGGCAGGGCATGCCAAATGTTGGCCCAGTCTTCTCTAGACCTTTCTGTTAAAAAAAAAAAAAAAAAAAAAAAAAAAGGGGGGGGGGGGGGA